TAATTATGAACATAAGGCAATGTGTAAAATACATAAAGAATAAAGTTAACTATTACCTGCGAGATGTAGATGCCTAGAGAGATGCCTGTGACCATTAGCACCTTGAGGCGAGTGGACGTGGTCAGGTCACCTGCATGGGCAGGCACACACAGGCGCACACAGAGCAACAGGGTACTCGGAGCTGCCAAGCTACAGGAGTAAAACCTTTATGACAAACACATTCCCATAGCTGTTGGAGAGAACAGTGTGATAGGGCACTATTTGCATGTTAATGGGTGGGACGTGCTTAACATGTCCCTCACTGTACTCGCTGCAACTGAAACGAAGCAGAGTCACGAGTGTGCCTTCCTCAGTGCCCGCTGTCCAGAGCTGAACATTAGCTTCTTGCCGAAGGAGGTGAGGAAGCATTGTAGGACACACTGCAGGCGGCCAGAGGGCTGCCTGGCTGGGGACCACGGCTGTCCGCTCATCCTGGAGGGACTTGGTCCCCGGGGTCAGCGCTGCTGCTGAGCCCTGGGCTGGCACCACACAGGGAAGGTGGAGGTGGCCCTCTGGGTGCAGTGGTGGCTGTTGCTGAGTCCCTCTCCAATGTGCCGCTCTAAAAGATGACATTTTTTCCCCTATGACACAATTAAGATGAGAAATACTTAATTGCTAAATGTTCCTATGTTTGGCTGTAGAACTCCTGCAGTGACATTACCATGGCAACTAAAGAGCTTTACAATCCCCTGCTTTTCCTCACAAACTCACAAGAAACACAAAAATCACTTCACCAAATAAGGACAGGGATTGTGCTGGAAACTAGAAATGGTTAAGGCAACCTGTGAAGATGCCCCCAACTACGAGGCATAAAATACGGGCTGATACTTGAATATACATCTAAACATATTCGGGGGTTAGGATAAAAACTACTAAGTAGCTGTCAGTGAAGCTTTATGGTAATTTATATCTCTCTCTGTTCTTGGCTTTGTTCAAGACCAAGAAGTAGTGTGAGCTACTCTGACAGCCTTCAAACAGACCTCAGGAATATTTCATACACGCCATGACCCACATAAGCAAGGGACACAGGAATTTACTCTGCGCCAAGATACACACGCAAATCTGTGGGTATGTCAGATTAGAACTGTGGCAAAGCCACACCTATTTGAGGACCGGGATTTACCTCAGAGTTTCCATAAGTGCAAGGACTCGAGTTTAATCCCTGGTATCAAAAAGCAAAACAAAAAAGCCACACCTCTCTGAAACATTGTGGTAATAGCAGTTTAACTTTTCCCTGAACATCACTATTTCTGTATTTGAGTATCTCAGTATTTCCTTATAAACCCACAAACATTTTACTAATTATGTCCTACCACCGCTCTTCTCCTCACAAGGCACAGAACAGAATCTCTTGATAAATTCTCACCCTAAATGTATGGCTGCAGTGTGCTGCTTCACCGCAGGGCGACTTTCTGTCAGAAACAATTTCATGTAAAGGACAAACTATTGTGGTCTTAGCCAGCCAATTATTAGAGCAAATTATTTTTTAAATATTTAGAACAGGAAAAGTGGAGGGAGGAGAGGGAAGGGGGACAGGAAGAATGAAGATGTGTTATGTGCACACAGCAACTCCCACAAGGGATGTAATCGTCATGTACAAACACAGACTAATACAAAATTAAGTATGTTTTTAAGTATTGAAAATAGCCAGCTTTCTTTTTAAGGGCTTCCAATTTCAAAGGTGGGGTGGCTGGGTTAGGTCGGTGTTCCCCACAGGGACGGCTACTTAAGGACTACTTGAGTTTGTCACAAAGACAGATTCTCCCGGGAGAACCGAGGGCAGCTTTGCAGAAGACTGCTGGTCTACCTCACAGCACTGTGGGAACTCCGAGGTCCCTGGGCTGGGGGCTCCAGCGCTGGTGATACTCAGGTTCTTTCTGCTCTAGCAATTTCTCATGTGTTTGAACGTTGCTAGGCAGAGTTAACACAGACGAATTCACAGACTAAATTCTCTACCGTTCACGATCAGGTAGAATTGGAGACGCACAAGAGGTTGCAGACATTCTCTGGTTTGTCTTCATCCGCTTTCCCAAATGATGTCTTTTATAAAGAGTATATATTCAAAACTAGGAAACACAGAGACGCAGCACTGTTAACTGAAGCACAGACCTGATGCGCACTCGCCAGCACTTAGATGCACCTTCTGTTCCTCTCCCCGGCTCCCCTCCGTCCCTCTCTTCTGTTCTGATGTGTAGCGGTATGAAATTGCATCACAAGCACTGCGTAAACCCCACCATGGTCAGAACGGAACCATTCCACCACCTGGGAACATCCTCTTGTAACACTGTGTAGCCCAGGATGGCCTTGGACTTGTGATCCTCCTGCTTCAGCCTCCTGGATCCTGGGGTCGCATATATTGCCATCACACCCCATCTTTAATTCCTATCGACCACACACCTCACACCTGTTGCTATAATGTTGTCATTTAAAGGATGTTACACAAACGCAGACACACAAGATGTCGCCTTTTGAGATTGGCTTTTCTCAGCATACCACTCGAGATTCAAAACCGTTGCTGCATTGAACAGTTTGTGTCTTTGTATGGCCACGTAGTATTGCATTTAGAGATGTGCTAGCTGCCCATTGAATGATGGGTTGTTTCCAAATCTCAGCTATCACAAATACGCTTCTGTAAACATTAGTGCTTTTTGTGCAGGCACATCTTCCTTTCTGCACAGTAACAACCCACCCAATCTGCTAGGTCAGATTGTAAATATCTGCTTAACTTCTGGAGGAACTGCCAAACTTTTCCAGAGTGACCGCTGCATTTGTATTCACCCTAACAATGTTCCAGAGTAGTTGCTTCACGTTCTTGCTAATGCTTGGCATCTCAGTATTTTTCACTTTGGCCACTCTGACGGACCTAGCGACAGCCTGCGGGGTCTGCACTTGTGTTTTCCTGATGGTTACTGTTGACATTTTCACGTGTTATTTGCCATCACTTTGTTATGAAGATCTGTTCATTTTTTCACTTATATTTTCTTACTTTTGAGGTGGTTCATCTGGTTCGGATACAAGTCCTTTACTGAAAGTGATTAGAAAACACTTCCTGTTTGCGGTTTGTCTTTTATCTAACAGGATCTCCAGAGCAAAAGGTTTAAATTGTGACCACGCCAGCAGATCTATTTTTTCTGCAATGTCTAAGAACGCTATTTAGGACTATCTTCTAATTTCAAGTTCTTTTTTTACATGCAGATATATCAATTTTGAATTTTTCTATAAGGTATGAGGTTCAGGCGTTTCCTTCCCCCGTTTCTATCATTATCAAAAGACTGTCTTCCCCGCAATGCAACATGCTTGTCCCACCACTCTGGACAGCCGGGGTAAGGGTATTACGATTTCAAAACCAGTCTGGGCAACTTAGTGTCTCAAAGTAAAACGGGCCAAGTATGTAGCTCAACCCTGGGTTCAATGCCCAACAGGCTTGCTTCCCCCACAAGACTGAGCATGCTTCTGGATTTTCTGTCCTTTCATTGATCTGTTTCAGCCCTTTCTTCAACAGGATTGTGTTTTTATCAATCCCAGTCCCTTTGCTTTTGCACAAAGTTGAGACGCTGGGATTTTGCTCAACTTTCGTCTAGGCGATGAGTGCCTCATTCCTCAGCCTAGTCAGCCTCACAGTTGGTCAGCTTGGTGCCAGGCAACACAGCTGGACACACACAAGGGCATCTGTAGGTGGCGGTGAGGGACTTGGGAGATGGGTTGGTGGGTGAACCCAGCAGCCAATGGGCCAGAATGCTGAGCACCAAAAGGTACCCCAGGCACACTCACTCTGTGCTTTCCACTCCAAGATGTGTTAACCGACATCTTGGGCAGCAGGACACTGCGACCAGGGGCTGGACCCTTGCACCTGGCCCCGTTCTCTGTGCCAGCTCAGTGGGTTCTGTTGAGTGCTTGCTGGAGAGAGAAGGGCGGAGACCCAGGAACCTGTCTCCTTTAGTGGAGTCGGGTCAGTTAAGGTCCAAGCAGAAGGGCCTGGTTAACAATGCAGAATGGCTCAGCCAATTCTCTCTCCAGCTTCAGGAATAGAAGTACCACATTTTTAAAAATCCAGAAGTCAGAACCTTTCTGGCCTGTGCAAATGGCTATACAACCTTCTGGTGCAGAGGGAAGATAGAAAATGGGAGGAATGTCAGGAATTATTTGAGAAATGCAGCTTTGAGCAGGTAAGTTGAAGTCAAGCTTGCTCTGAGGAAAGAGGGTGCCAGGGACTAGGTTTGACAAAGGTCTCCCTGGGCCATTGTGAGAATTCTGGTCTCTACCTCAAAGGAAACAAAGTATCCTAAACACAACCTAACACCAAGCTTTGATTAGAGCAAATTAAGCACATTTATTAATATAGGAGCTTCCCAGATCACTAAAATTGAAAAGCTAATAGGCATGCTTTCTCTATGAAAAATTTGAAATATCTGTGGTTAGCAAAGGCTCACAGAGCCATAGACAATTATCAAAACCCAAACCTCTATAATCACCTTTTCAGCTTGTGTACTTTAAAAGGGTATTAGTTACATACAGCTTCTAAGTTATGATATACACCGTGCCTGGTCTCCCTTGCTCTTACATCTTTGTCTCTGTGCCTCCATCTGCTGGGCATGTAGTTCCATTGACTAAATCATGCAAAGCCTGAGTCACATTAAAGGAGGCGGGTAAAAAGACACTCATCGATCTGACACCCTTGGGTACCTGAAAATCACAAGAGGGAACAATTTGAGTGATTTCTTTTTGTTAATTCCAAGATGTACTCAAGAACACGCCTATCCAAGGATGCCCACGCCTACGGATCCCTGCTCAGCGTAACCTGAGAATCGTTAAAAGTACACTGGAGCACTGCACATCTTCCCAGACTTATGAGGAGACATTCATTCAGAGCCGCTAATCCTCATACTAAAACACCTGTTCTTCACATCTAGACAGTACTCAGTGAAGTACACCAACCCTACCTACATGGTGATGAGGGAGGAAACAAAATACAAAACATCTGTGGAATATGAAAATTTATTACTAATGTCTTTTCATCATCAAAATTTATGATCTTGGTCTTTCCTTCTTGCCTTTGTAGAGAGCCAGAAGAGAGACATTGGCTACTTTAACCACCTTAAAGCGGACTCCAGGAATGTCACCAACGGCATGACCTTTTCGACCAAATCCAGCAACCAGAACTTCATCATTTTCCTGAAATAAAATATAAAATTTATTTCTGGCAGCAGCAGTCCCAAAAAAGCATTACTCATTCATCAGGAAAAATAATACGGTAAAGAAACCCCAGAACAATCCACAGGAAATCAAACTAATTGGAAATTCTCACCTCAATGAAGTTCAGGCACCCATCATTAGGGACAAAAGCTGTGATTTTCTTGCCGTTCTTGATCAGCTGGACTCTGACGCACTTCCTGATGGCGGAGTTTGGCTGTTTGGCTTCAACCCCCCTGAAACATGAAACAGCAGAGTTGTGACCTGGCTTTCTGAAAAGGACAAACATTAGGCACAGAGCTAATTGAAATTGTTTCTACCTGTCAATCAGGTCAAATCCCTCAAATCCTGTGATTTCAATCTGGTTTTTCCTCTGAGTTTCATTATTCATAGGGGAAGAAATTTTTAATTCTTCTACAGTTGTAAAGTTATTTGAACTACTTAAAAGAATTACAGCTAGAATGTCCAGGTTCAAATTACAGCCCTACTATAAGATGTGACAGAACCACATGGAATCACCAAAGTTGAGAGTCAATCAAGTACAGCCACATTCACATGGCTCAGTGTAAGTGCTGTGACCTCAGGTAAGCCTATCTAGTTTTCGCAAATGAAACAGTGGACAGACATTTGCCTATTAGCAGTTTTCACAGAACAGAAGTGCTCATTTATGTCACTCACCCACCACTGCTAATATCTTCCTCAATCCCTCTAAGACGAACGCGGAAATCTAAACTCTCTGTCAACTTTTAAATACAAAAGGCAATCTTGGCTACCGAAAGGTCCACATGAACCTTTTAAAAGAAGTGGTGTAAGATAGGGTGGTGTAAGCCTGAATTCCCAGCACTGTGGGAGGCCGAGGCAGGCGGATCATTTGTTCAAGACCAGCCCAGGCCACTGAGCGAGACCGTCTCAAAACTTAAACAATAAAACAAGAGGCTGTCAGCATGAAACCCCTGGATCCCATCCCCATGGCGGCAAAAACAAAATCAAACGGTCACCCACAAAATCACCGAGTACACCTGTTCTGAAATACCACAGCAGCATGAAGCTGGAACGCTGCAATGGCCTCTCACTTACACTTTCTCCAGCACGATTCCCTTCGCGTGGGAAGCACCTCCAAAAGGGTTGGCCTTCAGGGCTGTGCCCAGGTGGGCCTTCTTGTACTGCTTATCGTGCCACTTCTGGTCCCGCCGGTGACTGCGGAGCTTCCGGGCAGTACGAAGGCCGCGACACTTGCCTAGAAGGAAAACACTCCGTTGCTTCGCAGAGGGACACGGACGCCTCCGAGAAGGCGCCGGCCTCGCCCGGACTAACGCCTTAATCCGCCGACTCGCGGGTCCGGCGGCCTCTAAGGTCCCAACCACGGCAGCCCACACGCGGGGGTTCAGGCCGGGCCCACTCGCGGATTCGCCTACCCAGCCCCATTCGTCGGCGTCCTCGAGGAGC